AATGCTTCCATTATAAAATCATCAATCCTACTTGATGCTTCTTTTGATGCGTTAACACATCCATTCATTGTTGGTTGGCCTATCGATAAGGAATGTGAAATGAGTCGAATGTTTTGGTGAGTTTTGCTATTGCTCAGAAACTGCCTCAAATGTGGACAGAATTCACAAATCAATACGACACTTCTTCCCTAGTTTTGGAAATGCATTTCTTGGGAGAAGTGTTTTCATCTTGCTCGAAGTGATTTCTTCTTGGCACGAAAAAAAGTGAACGAACATAATTCAATTTGCTTATATAACCACACAGCTGCGTCTCATTTTTGTGGTTGCTTAAATATATGTGTACAACGAACAAGATAAAACGAGCATAAAAATGCCACTAAAAGAGACGAAAATGCTGCTGCTGNGGCAAGCATGAGTGAAACTCGTCGAATTTCGAATGCAACAAACCGAATGCGCCTCAGCAATATCACAACTCGTATCCTCTAGAGACGGCGGTGCCATAGTTTCACCGGAACTACTGTGTGCGGCTGCCGATGACGGGCAAAGTTCAGAGCTGGGCACCAATCGTCCATAGAAAGTGTTCTCGATCAAAATGTGCGTATTCCTCGGACAGTGCAGTGTGATCTTCTCACCGTCACAAGCTTGTACCAGATTGTTCTTCAGACTTTCCATCATTAACGCTGAAATTTGTTGAATTTAACTATTTGAATAAAAAACTTTTTTTTATTCAGCAAAAGTTTCTACTCAGCAATGTTTTATTTTTTTTACAAATGTCCGCCGCACATTAGAGAGGCAACAAATGGGGGAAGTGATTTGGAGAAGTTACGCAATTGGCCACTCACTAATAATTCAGAAATCTAATCACAGAAAGTGCACGTTTCGCTTTGATTGCCGTAGTAACCACACGAAATCTGGCAAACCAAAATATCTTTCGCTATGTTTCTCGAATTCGCGAAAAGATTCTATTGCTTACAATTAATAGCAAAATTGTGTTGTTCTCCCTTAATCAGCAATAAATTTCACTGTTCGTTTCTTTGTGATCGTTTTCCATTTCATTCGTGATCTATAGAAATTTTTTGACATCAGTTGATCAAAAGCTCCCACTTAAGTGTCCCGTTTTGCCCCTCCAATGCTAATTTCTCTTGATTCAATGAAAAGCTTGCTTTATCACACTTCAGCTACACAAACAATTTACATAGTGAGGACATTGTTACAAGCTGCACGATTCGCACTTGGCGATTCACTCAAAAGATTGCTGCTTCTCAATTACATGCGATTGACAATTGATGGCCTCATAAGAGTGGCTGAAGACAATACACACTCCGCACATACACTTCACTACTACACCTGAGAGCAACAAACAATTCCATAGAAAACGAACAGAAAACTTGAAGCAATCACACACATTTGGCATACTTTCATTTGTAGAGTCATTCTTTTTTTTCGCAAAAAATAAAAATAAAAACAACTCTGAAAAGCACGAAAAAAGCTCCAAGTTAAGCTCTCAACAAGGCGCTTTCACTGCACACGGTAAAAATTTTGATTGCCCGTGAATGCTCTTGCATTCTTCTGAGCCGAAACAATGAATGATCAGCTAAAGAGAATCCTCAAAATTATTTTCAAACACTCAATTTCTTAAATATTCCTTTATCAAAGATCACTCACTGAATGTGAGCTGGAGTCAGGAATGCAATTATCAGTACAATTTAAATCTTAGATGAAAGCCTTTGCGATAAGACTGTATAATCTTCTGGTTTTAGGAGCAACTTGAAAACATTAACACAGC